AGCTCAGGTGCCACTGTCCAGTCTTTGGTGATTGTCTGCTCAGGAAAGGCTAGGATCTGGTGAGCAGGCACAGCTGTGGGTGGAAAAGAGCCAGAAGAAATGTCTCTCACTACTATGAACATCCTTAGCTTACTGCTAAAAGACAGACAATCCTGATTCTTTCATCAGAGATGTAATACCTTTAGAACTGTTGCCTGTTACCTAGAAGTGGCCTTCTGACTGGACACAAGAACTGAACACCTACCGGCTTCTACAACAGGTTCCCCAGTTGACGGTCTTTGGTTTGATGAGTGAAAGCAATAAAAGGAAATGTTTTTTGCCCTTATGTCATAAATTGTTCAAAATTCGGCCAAAACTAGAGGTTTACAACTGCAGAACTCAGTCCAGTGTGCCAAGGAATGGAAAGGGGAAAGTAAAAAAGAACGTGGTGAGTTCAAGAAACAGCAAGATCAGTGTAGATAAAGAGGGCTGAGCAAGGGCACGAGTGGCGGATGAACGGGTGCTAGATCTTGGAGGCTCCTGGTACCTTGGCAAAGAACTTGGGTTTTGTTCTAAATGTGTGAGAAATCATCTCAACATTTTAAACAGGGTAATCTCATGATCTGATCAAGTTCTTTAAAAATTTGGCTGCTGCGTGCAAAGTAGATTGTGGAAGGCTAAGAGCAGTGGCAGAAGGAGCCAGTTAGGAAGTACTGAGGTGAGCCTGGTTACACATTCCCCTGGATGAGACCAAGATGCTAACAGTCAGACTCAGGCTGTACTCGGCGTGCGGAGCCCGAGGACACGGATACATCAGTAGTACGGCAAGAGAACAAGATCAGAGTAAAGGATGAACACAAATGTTCTGGCCTCAAGTATTGGGTGAGTAGTGCTGCTCTTTACGGAGATGGGAAAGACAAAAGAAAAGCAGCGTAGGAGAGACGGCAAGGAGCAATCACGAATTTTAGGGTAAGGAATGAGCATATGCATTTGGAAAAGGCTCTCCAGGTGATCTGGATATGCCTTTCCCTGCTCACACCATCTAGTTGAGAAACAACCGGTTACTGGAACACAGCCTCTCACTGAAGTCCGTTCCTAGTAAGCCAGGAACATGACAGACTACTCAACTTCTACCCAACGGGAGAGGGAGATTCTTTACCTAGAGAGATGACAGTCTCATAGTTTTCCCGCATTACATCATTGTAGAGGGCCTTCTGAGTGGGATCCAGTAACTCCCATTCTTCCTGGGAAAAATACATGGCCACTTCTTCAAATGTCAACAAGCTCTAAAGAAGACAATGGGCTTCAGCTCAGTACTTGCCACTAGAGAAGCAGCCCTACCATCTGGCCCATGGGAGACCCTGGGCACTCAGCGAATTAACAGCATTTGGTATTTTTTAAAGTGAGAGGGTGAAAAGAAAAAGGGCAACAGATCAGCAACAGACTCGGAGGTGCTCATTTTCACAGGGAGAACGCTGGGGCTAACACGCCTGTGAGCTGGGCGGTGTGGGTCATGGGCCCGGGGAAAGGCAGCCCTCAAGGGCTGGACTGCACAGCTCACCTGGGACTCAGGCAAGACGAGCTCAGGTGCCACTGTCCAGTCTTTGGTGTTTGTCTTCTCAGAAAAGGCTAAGATCTGGTGAACAGGCACAGCTGTGGGTGGAAAAGAGCCAGGGGAAATCTCTCTCGCTTCTGTCTATAAACATCCTCAGCTCATTTCTAAAATACAGATGATCCCGATTCTTTCAGCAGAGACACGACACCCTTGCAAGTATATGTGGTGCCCTGGAGTGGTCTCATCATCATATACAAGAGCTAAGTATCTACCGGCCACTAGAATAGGTTCCTCAGCCTTCGAGAATGAATAAATGTAAGAAAAACCTTTTTTCCCCTCTCACGGTGTAAACTGTTCTCACTTAGGCAAAGTTAAACATACTTGAAAATGAAGTACTCAAGATAACCCGGTGTACAATAGATCCATTTTTTTTTTAGCATTTATTTGTCTCCTGGTACAAAAGTGTGTTCGTATTCTACCATCGCTTTCTAAAGAACAGAGTATTTGGTGTTATTACCGGGGTTCTGTAGTCTGGATGTTTCTGTATCCTGGGCCAACCCCCAAATTCACCCACAGCTGGTGCTCTACTGCCACCTAGGGGACATCGTAATTGCTACGTGGCTGAATCCGCCCATCCACATAGCTGGGCACCCAGAAAATGCCCACAATGTTCTGGTTCAATAAACTCTTATCATAGATCCCAATAAGGGAATTATCATGATGTGCCTTACCCCTCTCACATACAGGCTCAGATTCTTTATGAGTATTCCCGCTCAGCTGTTCTTGCAAACCTTGGTATGTATTCCAGAATTCTTCATCCTGGGCCAGGCCCACTGGCTGGGACTCTGCTGTTTCTCTCAAAAGCACTGACTCCTTTCCCAGCTCTTGTATGGCAACCTGGAAATAATTCCCACCTCTGTTACCACAAAAGTTATTTTTGGTTTTGGGGTTGATTGTAGAAGGAGGAAAAAGTGAACAGTCCAGATGGTAGAAGATATACAACACTAAAGGAAATGACAAAAAGGCTTAAAGAAATAACGGGCGACCAATGTTTCAAAAAGAATTCTCCACAAAATGTGGCACTATTGGGATAAAAGGAAAAGAAATGTGGCTCACGCTAGCCCTCCACCACAGCAGGCCCCACCCCTCTAAACACAGTGCCACTCAGACTACATAGGTCACCTGTTATCATGCTACTTTGACAGCCCTTCTCTCTTGACTTTGATCCCTGCTTAATGTTTTTTCTGTCTCCTCATTCTCTCAAAAGATTAAAGAACAAAGAAAACCGTCTCATCAACCAGATTATCCCCATGGCCAGGAAAGGCTTTCAGAGAATGGGGGACGAAATGGGAAAAGAGAGGGGAAGAGAGTTTGGCTCCAACCTACCTCCAGATGATTTCTGGCACCACACATATGCCTGCCTGTGTCTTCTTCCCAGTTGGCCTGACGCCAGCTGGTGTTCTGCCACGTGGCTAAGAACACACCCTGGATTCCCACGAACCAGCAGAGCCAAAGACCAACTGCGGAGGGCGCTGTGGAGGCTCTCTCATTTGAATCAGAGGGCAATATCCCTCAATGTCTCTCTCCTCTCAGCTACTCTGCTAGGATTGCCAAATCTGTTTCCTTTTTCTGCCTCCTTTTCTCTCCCTTTGCACTCTTCCTTCGATGTTTGGGTTTTCCTTCTCTTTACTATCTCCACTCAACTTTTCGTTTCTAAGTGTTCTCCCTTTGTCAGGTCCTCCCCTTCCTCTCCAACTCCTTATTTCCTTTTATTCATTTGTAACTCAAAACCCATGTCCTTGGGCAAGCCATACTAGGCTTATGACTCTCCATTCCCCCTGGCTCTACAGATCACAAATGCAGTCGTTCTGGAAGGCCAGGAAAGTATCTGTGAAACCTGAGACTACTGCTGTGGGTCTGTGGTTTCAGGCTTTGCCTCAGTTATTCTAAAGGAACAATGGAACAGTGACCTAATTCACCTTATTTCTCAATGAAGTGCCCCCACCCAAATCCACTTTCACCCTATTTCATCACGGGAATCAGGAATCTTTCTTCTCACCCTATTCCTCGTTTGACCAGATTCCCTCTCCAAGTGTTCTACCAGGGTCACGGCCTCCTCAATGCTTTGTAGATGGTCCTTCCTTATCCGGCTCTGGGTGTCCGTGGGCAGAATGGTCACAAACTGTTCTAGCACAAGCAGTTCCAGGATCTGCTCTTTTGAGTGGATCTCAGGCCTCAGCCACTGACGGCAAAATTCCTGAAGCTGGCCAACAACTTCACGAGGTCCGGGGGCGTCATGATAGTGGAAGTTCCGGAAGTGCTCGCGCCAGCTTTCTGGACTGAGCCTGTCCGTTTGTGGGGTGTACTTCTTAATGTGACTGGAACTCTCTATCTCAGGTCCCTTGCACTCCCACAGAGCCCTGATCTGAGGGCTCAAACAGTCAGCCACCTTCAGATCTACCATCATTACTCTGCTGTAGGAACAGTTTTACTCCTGTGTTGGACACCCCGCCAGCACCACCTTTGGCAAACGAGGCCCAGTCAGCTCTGGAGCAAAATCAATAAAACGATCCTCGTCCTAGAGTAGTGAACAGAAAAAAGGTGCACGTCAGTGAGAGTGTCACAAGAACTTTGTTATCTCCTATTCACAACAACAGACAAACGAACAGAAAAATCCTGCCTTGCTTTCCCTTTAAAAAATCCACTGCCAAGGGCACCTGGGTGGCTCAGTCAGTTAAGCCTCCAACTTCAGCTCAGGTCATCATCTCAAAGTTCTTGGGTCAGGCCCCCCCGTAGGGCTCTGTGCTGACAGCTCAGAGCCTGGAGCTTGCTTTGGATTCTGTGTCTCCAGCTCTCACTCTGCATGTGTTTCTCTCTCTCAAAAATAAATAAATATTTAAAAAATTTAAAAATCCACCGCCAGACCCTTTGTCCCCTATTATTCAGGTGAAATAAGGCACAGCTCGTTGAGAGACAAACGTCCACTGAGGGCTTGGCCTTCCTAAAAATGGTCACAATTCAGGAAAGGTTGGACAGTGAGAACGCTTACAGCTTCTGGCTGCGAGGAGCTTGTCCAAAGATTTCACTCTCGTGCTTCCTACCCCACCTTCCCCATGCCAAGGGGCCATCCGGAGAACATTCTGAGTTTCTCTTCAATCTTAACGTGTCATCCCGGTCTCCTGTCTATCGTAAGGGGGTACAACCT